CTATCTACCACTAATTAATATGACATCATCCAGGTGTTTTTACTTAATGTTTACTGTTACTGATGGAATATTTACATTGTTTATGATGAAAAAGGTAAGATAGTGGTGAAATTTTTATTAAAGGCTGAAAAAATTTTTCATTGTAAACAAACTTTTTGTCCTTTGATATCTAAAAGTTTGATGAAATTTCAAAATTATTATTTCATATTTATGCTTATAAGTGATAATATTCGAGTGTTAAATATAATTTGATTCTATTAATGATTTCGTATTCTTTCTCAAAATTGATTTAAAATTGACGAAAAGCTGATGACAATTACGAAAAGCTGATGACAATTACGAAAAGCTGATGACAATTAAAGGATGAGAAATTTTTGATAAGAAAAACGATCATCAAATAAAGTATATTTGTTGTAAAATGTTCAAAATATTCTCGATCATTTGATCATATCATAATTTAAAAAAAAAAAACTGAAGAGAAAATTAAGTTAAGAATCAATCGATATCGCATCAGTTCGTAATGCAATCATTTTAGATGTTGAATGAATGAATGAATGAATGGGTTAAAAATGTACGACAAATATTTGTTACCGTTAAATAACCTGTTTGAAGAGAATAGAAAAAGACAGTAATAAAAAGTTTTTACATGGCTTTGGTTGTTTGATTCATTTGCCATTATCATCATTCATGCATACTTTATCAAATAATCATTATTTATTCTTTAATTAATTTGAAATATAATTATTTGTATGCAAGGAAATGGCTATAAAAGCCTTAGTATATTATATTATTTTTGATTAATTGAAATTATAAAAATTATATTTTTGTATTGAAACTTTAAAAACTTTTTTATATTAAAAAATTATGTTTTAAAATTATTTTTAGAAATTATATTTTTTGATATTTTTATTAAAAAAAATTAAAATTATATTTCAAATTAATTTGATTCCCACACATTTCTTTTTTTTGCGCTTTTTTGATGAGTTAATAATTGTTAAATAAGAAGCAGGAAAGATGGAAGATTGATTACCATCTCTTTTATTTGCATACTTTATGATGTAATAGACGGGAAAACAAAAGTAGAATTAACTCTCGATAGGAAGTATTTGACGATCGATAGGGTATATAATAAACAAAATAACTAAATCAATAACGGGAATTCTCGGGGGAAAAAAAGACTGAATTAATTAACTAAAAATATTAAGGGATAAATTTAGCTTATCTAAGTAATATTTTGTTTTTCTTTTTTATAATAGAAATTTAATTGGAGGAATTTTTTTCACATATTATCATTAAAAATTTCTGAAATTTGAAGGGAATTGATAAATGTTAATGTTGAATTCAATTAAAAACATTCATTTTTTCTTTATTATTTCAAAATTATGATAAACATAACTGTATCAAATATCATTACAGCCATAAATTATCATGGAAAAAAAGTATCATATAAGGAAATTTTCATTTCATTTCATTTCATTCCATTTCATTTCATTTCATGTCACTTTTTAGACGCAATTCTTCTGTCGATTCTTCACAATATTCAAACTTACAATGCCCATATTGTATACGCTGCCAACATGTTCTCGTGGAATATCATATCGATCTTTTATTGAACATTTCTGTTAACAAAAAATTTTAATTTGAATTAAATTGAAATCGAATTTATACTCGCTTTTAATAAATATTTCTTTCTATAATTCCTTTCAAATTGAAAGTTCGCTTATCAATAATGAAACTAGCAATTACTAGCTTTTGCATTGCAGTATTTGCTATCACTATCAAAAATTGAAATTATTTCCGTTAATAGATAGACTATCAATAATTGGTGTTATCAGATGTGTCATAATAATGTCACTTCATAAAGGGACGATGGAGGACATGATGATAGCGGTGTCATTTGGTTTCGGCTATCAAAAAGGTTTACAGTTGAATAAGTTCACGCCTAATGGATAAAGCATAGGATTACGAGCCCGCTTACAGGAATTATTATTTTTGCTAACGAAAAAAAATGAATCTACCGGATTTATGACACCATTATCGCAACTGTGTACTATTATTAGGTATGGTTCAATGTTGTTCACTTCATCCTCCTCTCCATATAGTCGAAATTGTCCATGGCTATCGGTTCTTGTCGTATTCAATAAATCATCCGGATCCACTAAAAATTAAATTTGAAATTTTATGTCACCAATTAAGTCAAAAATTGATCGATCAGTTGTAAATATTAATTTATGAAAAAAAAGAAACAAACAAAGTAAATTATAGTTGAATATAGAAAAATATAAAGATGACCAACATGTGTCACGTTCCCAAAGCTGTATTTCAACATCTCTTTGTGACCGATCGCTGCATGCTACCTTACCAGTGACAGTTATATTTTTCATACTTCCAGCAGCAAATGTCGAGACTACCATAATAGCCAACAATATCACACATTTAATGAACATAGCTGAAAGTCTTATCATTTATCACTTTTAACATTTTTGAAATTTATACAAATATCTGGAAAAAGAAATTATCAATTTCGTAGTATAACCGAACAATGAATTAGCTCAATATCTGATATAAACAAAAGTGAAAGTGATATAAACTGATATAAATAAAACTGAAAGATTGATGTCGTCTAAAACTTCGTTATCGATTTGATTTGTTGAGTGCTGAAGGACTTATGAATAACAGCTGATAAGATTTCAAAAGTTTAACTTATATATGTAAGGATTAGTATTCGATAGAAAGTGAGATGATAACTTTCATTTGAACAACATATTCTCACTTTTCAAACTTGATCTAGCTCCCAAAGAAACAATTTAACTTTGAGGAATTTTTTAATGAGACACTTTTTTTTTATTTCTTTATCTCTTCTATCTTTTTTAACTTCTCTTAAAATAAGAGTTAAAAATTAATAATTAAAAAATATTATTTCGATAATAAATTATTTTTTCATTTAAATTCATATAATTGATCGGATAATATTTGAAATAATTGCTGCTATTAATGGTACCATTAATGCATTAAAGAAAAAAAAGGAAAGGAATTAAAATAATTTTTTGCAATGTATATCAAATGGTTTATAAATGAAAAAATTTTGTTAAATAACTCGTAGCAATTAGAAAAAAAAAAGTTTACAAATAATATTTGAATAATTGTCATGAATTTGTTTAAAAAAAAAGAAAAACCTGTTCTTTTAATATTTTTTTTTTTTAAAATTTAATCTTCCTGCAAAGAGAAAGAGAGAGAGAGAGAGGAAGAATAGAAACAAACTGAGTCATGAATTTAAATTTCTTGTTTTATATAATGGCATCATTTCTTCGTTGCCACTCTTGGTAAAATATTGGTACAAATGAAGTATTGATTGATTGATTGATTGATTTTCTGAATTTTGACCTTGTTGACTATTTTCTAATTCTCTTGCTGAGTAGATGATGGAAAGCACAGTTGAGATGAAACTGCTACTATTGAAAATATTTTAGAGATGTAAAAATTATTGTGATGAGGTCATCATAGCCAGGCTTCAGGGAAGAAAATTTATGAAGCGCACTATTCACGCTTATTGCAAATAGCGCAGTGGATTTTGGAGATGATGGAGAGAGTATAGGGAGTTGATTCTACCCTTTAATCCTAAAGTTCATCTACCAGTTTCTAACAAGCTAAGATGATGACAATGAAGACCTCGGAACGTACATTTTATTAGAATATCCTTTTCTTAAATGGATGACTAAATGAATCCATCTGCTCAGGTTTGAAGTTAGAATTGTCCTTTTCCTAGAATGCTTGCTGGAAAGATAGTCACCTGATCCTGCCCGTAGATGTAGACACTTTGTCTGACCCTTCAGTTGAGATCTGTCTGGCATATGAGATCTTACCCGGGGGGGTATATGTCACCGCTAACATTGTTATTAGGAGACGCAAGCTTCTCACCCGCGACAAGGAAGTGTTCGTGAAAAAGAATGAGGGAATAAATCTCAATATCATCATGGAAAAAAAAGATAACTAAGTGAAATGGATCCATCCACTGATATGATTTGGTGTTTAATGATACCGAATGAATTTTACAAGCTGTAAAAAAACTGATAAAAGAGCATGCTTTAAAGAAATTTAATCAAATAAAATCCAACCACAAAGAATAAGTTAAAATTAAACTTAAAAACTTAGACTTAAATTTAGACTTCTTTTTCATCTCTTCAATTTCTTATCTTTTCACTGCAAAACTTATTTACCTATGATCGGAAATATAGGAAGATTTAAAAAAAAAAGAAGGAAAAGATTTCAAAGATCATTCATTCAAGGTTGCTAATCATTTTCATTGTAAAATAATAATAAAAATGATCAAAATAATAATATACTGTAATTAATTAAAGCTTAATTAAGTACAAGGCAAAAATACATAACTTTGCAATCTCTTAAATATATTGATTGCTATGCGAATAAAAATCATGCATGATCATTAGCTAATCATGAGCTAAACTCAATTTGCTAACTGAAATCATTAGGTAAATTCAACTCATTAGCTGATCATTACGTAAATTTAGCTATAGATTGATTAACAGCCAAATTTAACTCATTAATTGTTCATTAGCTAATTCAAATTTTTCACTGATTAATAGCTAAATTGAATAATAAAAAGAAATTGTAAACTTTGAAAAAAAAGTAAATTTTCAAGTACATAATTGAGGATAATCCTCGATTAAAGCAAAAAATTGTTTCAAAAGAAAAAAAAATGCTTTATTAATAAACAGACAAATAATACTAATGATAATACTCAATTACTGATAGTATTCAATATTGATAATATTCAATGCTGATAGCATTCAATCACTGATAATATTCAATCACTGGTAATATTCAATACTGATAATTTCAATGCTGGTAATATTCAATACTGATAATATTCAATGCTGGTAATATTCAATACTGATAATATTCAATGCTGGTAATATTCAATACTGATAATATTCAATGCTGGTAATATTCAATACTAATAATATTCAATGCTGGTAATATTCAATACTGATAATATTCAATGCTGGTAATATTCAATACTGATAATATTCAATGC